GGTCTGAAAGGTCAGGGAAACAGCCCAATGAGCATCACCGCAGAGGAGCCAATCAGCTGGAAGTTTACTGGGGCCGCTGTGAGCCAATCAGCTGGAAGTTTGCTGGGGCACCTTGGGCTGTGGCTCTCAACACCTGGATCCACAAATCTCTCTGTTTTCTTCTCATTTCCAAGAAGCTGGTCTCTTCCATCCCAATCTGGGACACTACTTCTCACCTTCTTCGCTACAGTCTATCTTTCCTCTGGATACATAAGTGTCCCCTGTGCTCATTTGTTATTGGTGGCATTTTTTCCTCCTCCAGCAAAGTCCCCAAGACCCGGACGGTGGCCTGATGGATCTGTGTGTTTTACCAACGTCTTTCCTGCAGCAAAACCGAATCTTCCTCTTCCCAGACTCAAGGACACCCTCGCACCTAAGTACCCCCCGCCCCCCGTATTGGAGGGCAGGATGACAGCCGCTCACGACGGAATTAGTCCTCGAGTCCGGACTTCACCTTCCACCACCCTGATGACTTGTCCTGTGCACCAAGTTACTTACGGTCTTTGCGCCATCGTCCTGTCCCTGCTAAGTGTGGCCAGAAATACCTGCTGGGGTTTTTACGGTGGTCACAGAGCATTCGCGGCCGTGCCCACCGTGAATTCAGCAAGTGGCTTGAGACGGTGACTCTGAAATAGCAACGGAAGAAGAAAGTCCCCTGGAAGGAGAGAGGGAGGCTGAGGCTGGAGGATCGAAGGTGGAGGCCAGCCTCAGCCAAAGCGAGGCCCTGAGCAACTCAGTGAGACCCTGTCTCTAAATAAAATGCAAAATAGGGCTGGGGAGGGGGCTCAGGGGTCAAGTGCCCCTCAGTTCAATCCCTCGTACCCTAAGACCCCCCTAAATTGTCCTCAGATCCAACCGGAAACATTCTGAGGATCAACGTCAGGCATTTTGGGGTTGAAACTCAACAGTAGGAGATGCATATATGCACAAACGTTCCCTGGGGCAGGAACGTTCACCCCAAGGGTCTTGATTTACAGAATCCCCGATTCACCTCTCAGTTTCTTTTTATTGGATCTGCACATGTCACAGGTGAGAAGTCCCCCGTGGGTCTCCGGGAGCTAAAGTAAAACCCCGTGTCCCCGTGCAACCACACACATCACCAGGAAAACCTCAATGACAGAGTGGATGATCCACAAAGTCCTTTAGGGGACCCTGACACCCTAAGGGACGTCATGGGAAAAACTCTGAGGATTCCTACGTGGACTTGAGTCGATCATTGCAACACAGTTACCCACACGATGTTCAGGTTGAAGACTGACCAACCTGAGAGGGACACACGGCCGTTCTCTGTTCTGCAAATTTGAATTTTCCTGCCGATTCGAACCTCTCCTGAAATCAAACTCTGTTCCAGAGCAATGACAAAGGCAGACGTCCTCTGTTTCCTTCTGTTTCCCCCAGAGGACTTGGAGGTCCTCAGGCTGAATATCCGTGACGGTGGCTTGGAAGAGACCTTTAATGGAGAGCTCACGTGGGACTTCACTTGGAAATCAAAATGCACGGAAAAGGTGGCCGTCTCCGTTAGATGGACTCGGACGGAGTCCACCCAATGAATGACCACGGCCGGGTTAATGCTAATGAGATGGCAAGAGGTGACATTGGCGTCTCCCTGAGTGACATCTCTGTCCGCCAGGTGGGATGATTGACAGGTAGAGGGCGAACATCTTCTGGGGGCCCAGTGCACCGTGGTGGATGTCCATGTCGCCTGCCACCAGGAGGCTCAGAAACTCCTGCAGGAACATAGTGGGGACCCCGAGGGATGGGCCATCGTCTACACAGATTTTGCAAAGGCTCCTCAAAGGTCTTCCAAGGTACCGAGCCTCCTTCAGGAAGGAGTGGTTCCAGGCAGGTGCTGATGTCAGAGATGCACCCAGGAGACGCTGAGGCTCCGATCCCAATGATTTGACCACTAAGAAGGAGGAGGAGGAGGAGGAGGAGGAGGAGGAGGAGGAGGAGGAGGAGGAAGCAGCCAGCCATACGGAGGCACAACTGTCATCCCAGCAACTTAGGAGGCTGAGGCAGGAGGACTGGAAGTTGGAGGCCAGCCTCAGCAACTTAGCAAGACCTCAACATAATAAGACCCTGGCGGAAAGACAAAGGGCTGGGGACGTGGCTCGGTGGGTAAGCACCCCTGGGTTCCATCCCTGGTACCAGACACTAAAGAAATGAACAAATAAATGAGATACTATTAACCACCTGGATGCAGCCCGGTCACTGTTTAAGCAATTATTTGACGGAAGTGGCGTCCACTCTCCTCCTACTGATACCTACAGACACGTCCGCAGAGGTCCACGGATGCTCCTAGAAATCGTCTTGATAAACCCACAAGCACCGGGTCAGCCCCAGGAAGAGGTGACCACGTCCACTCAGACGGTGGGTCTGCAGGTGGACGGTGGGGCTCTGTATGCCCTTCCAGGAAAGCGATGGGGCTACTCGGATGCAGGACATTCTGCTGAGGGTCACTCGGCTGAATCCAAACAGCACCCGGAAAGAAGAGGAGTCGGGGTTCTGAGTGGGTAGCGTCTTCCCCGGGGGCGACCTGCGCAGTGGAAACTCCTGAGGGCACGGGGACCCCTGGGCTGGGGGTCACTCTGCACATTAGCACCCCCCAGATGGCATTCACTGATGTTGGACTTGGCCATGTCGAGAGCAGGACCAGGGACAGCGCTCTGATACTCGGGGCAGCTCAGGGTCCTTCTGGGAGGGATGGGGGACTGGTGAGGCTAGCGGCCTCTGTCTCTAAGTGTTGATTTTTGGGGGGACGTGGGCAGTATGGGGGATTGACCTCAGGGGCCCTCGACCCCTGAGCCCCCTCCCCAGCCCTATTTTGCATTTTATTTAGAGACAGGGTCTCCCTGAGTTGCTTAGGGCCTCGCTTTGGCTGAGGCTGGCTTTGAACTTGTGATCCTCCTGCCTCAGCCTCCCAAACCACTGGGATGACAGGTAGGATTTGTAAATGCTCTTAAGTTTTGGGACACGTACAGATGCTAGAGTGAGCTGAGCTATTGCTCGTGTGTAATCGATACGGTAATATCATGACACTTTTTAAAGTTTTTTTAAAAATTTGTTCTTTTTGATTATACTATTCCCTTCCCCCCTCCCTTCCCTTCATTCCCCTTGGTCTAATGCAGTGAACTCATGTGCCTTATTCTATGTCACTGTCTGCATCTCAGACAGGACATCCGGACTTTGATGTTTGGGGATTTGATTATTTCACTTAAGTTGATTTTCTCCAGCTCCATCCATTTACCACCAAAAATGCCATCATTTCACTCTTTTTCATGGCCGAGTAATGTTCCACTATGTGTATAGACCACATTTTCTTTATCCATCCATGTGCTGAAGGGCACCTAGGTTGGTTCCATCGCTGAGCTACTATGAACTGAGCTGCTATAAACATTGGATTTTTTTTTTTTTTTTAAGAATTTGGAACTGAATGTGTTGAAGGAGGATGTTTTGCCCACTTGTTCCTTGTTCCTGGGTGCATATTAACTTCTAGCAGGTTAAACTGTGGGGTGCAGGGTTTTGAAGGTGTCACAAGGACCTTGCTGTTGTAGCTCTGTGGTCCATGTTCTCCTGTTGATGCAATTTAACGTCGTCTCTCCCAAAGTCCTCCACAAACACCAGGGATCCACTAACCAGCCACCCGTACCCACCCCGGGAGGGTCCTTCAAGGGTGTTTGAGTCGCACACAGTCACAATTCTGACACCTTATTTTTACCCAGGAAGACAGGGATATCACAGGTAGCTTCTGCAGACATGCTCAAGGTCTTGTGAGCTCTGCACAAATGCAGCAAGTGGCTCACAACAAGTGAGTGACTTATGGCCCACACCCCTAAATCCCCTCTCCCTGGAGAAAACGCAAAGTCTGCAGGATTGATGGACAGCCTTCACCCAGCTGGCACCTGGCTGTCCACTCTCAGGCTCCATCTGCTTCTAGAAAACCCAGCAGGACTCAACAGACGCTCCATGTTTTAGCCTCATCTACCCAAGGCACATAAAATCCAACATGGCGCACGGGGGCAAAGGTCGCGGGGGCCATTCTGGGTGTGGGTGATCTGGCCTCACCTCCCAGTGCCCAGGTGGACCGTCCTTTGCGGCTGAGATCTTGCTTAACGGGAACAAGGTAGGTGATGGCAGATTCTCCAACAAATTCCAGTTGCGAGACCTTCCAAGTGACATTTGGTGACCATTTCCAACACGGGGCCATTGATTCTCATTTTAATACGTGCATATTGCAAGGGACCTCTGTTAGCACTGGGAAACCAGTCCACAGGGATAAAATCAATCTTTTTGGCCCCCAATTTTGGTGTCCCCAGCTCTCTCATGCAGGCAGTGTGCAAATCTGTGATCTCTGAGTGAAAATCCTATTTTTCTTGTTTAAGTGCATTTCTTCTTAAATGGTGAAATTTCCTTACTCCAACGTCCTCAGTGACCTTGATCAGGCTCTTGACCTTGAAACCGGTTAAAATTTAAAAAAGCCATTGAGTCTGTCGTATGCGTTGCTTTTAAGAATGTGGGAAATCTCTTAAAAATTAAATTAAATGATTTAATTTTCTCTTTCTCTTTTTTTTTTTCAAAATTTTTTTTGGAACAACTCACCTTAGATTTTTTTCTTCTTTCTTTCCTTTTTAATTTTTTCTCTTTTTTTATTTTTGCAGTAGTCTCATGTTAACCCCCCAAACTGCATCTTCACGGGATTCTTAACATTTTTTTTTTTTTACAAATAACGTTTTAAATTGGTTCTTGTGGACATCTTTCTGTTTCTCTGCATTTGCCCGTATCCCATTTTTTCTTTCTTTTTTTTTTTTGAAATCCAAATGTAACAGATTTCAACTTTTTTGTGTTACATTTTTTTTTTCCTTTTACTGGGTAGAATCTCTCTCTGAATTTTTGGCAAATCTATTGTTTTTGAATTCTCTTTTTTTTCCCCCTCCTTTATTTACTTCTACAATATGACCCAGGAGCCAACACAAAGAAAATCGCAGACGATATCACCAGTAATGATCGTGGTGACGATGAAGGTATTTTTTTAATTTTTTTTTCCAAAGCTCAACTCCCATGCATGGTTTTATATTTGATTCTCTCTCTCTCTCTCTCTCTGTGCACTTTTTCCCCCATTTCAACCTGTTTTTCTTCCCCTTATTTGAAACGGGAACACGCGAGTGTGCCTCTTTCTTTATTTTCTTCTTGCAAAATAAAAAAAAAAAAATCAAGAATAAAATAGTCATCATTTTTAAATCCCAGTCACCACGTAGAGGACCGGAAATGGCTGGAAGATCTGCAGACCTTCTTTCTAGACATGAGATGGAATAAAACACGTTTTGCAAAGAAATCCACTTTTTTTTTTCTATTTTTTTTTCTTTTTTTCTTTAATTTTTTTTTTCCTATTTGGTCCCAAGAAGAGAAAGTAGAATTTTAAGTGATGCATGTGCACGATCCACTTTCCGTCCTTCTAAATGTGATATTTTTTTTTTTTTTTCCGGGAAGATTTTATTTTGAAACGTGGGTGTTCTGATCTTTTCCACCCACTGCAAAATGTCCCAACAGTTTCATGGAAGATCTGTTGGATTTGGTGGTGGGAGGGGAGGAAAATTCAAATTTTCCTTTATTTCACCTTGATTTTTTTTTTTTTTTTTTGTATCTGGGATTGACCCCAGGGGCACTCGACCCCTGAGCCCCATCCCCAGCCCTATTTTGCATTTTATTTGGAGACAGGGTCTCCCTGAGTTGCTTAGGGCCTCCCTTTGGCTGAGGCTGGCTTTGAACTCGTGATCCTCCTGCCTCAGCCTCCCCAGCTGCTGGGATTCCAGGTGTGCAAAACCTCCCAACAGACTGCCCATCTCTAACGGGAGCCATCTTGCAGAATAACGGGAGGTCATCCGCCTAATTCCTTTCTGATGATTTCAAAGGATAAAACTTTGTCAAACACAGAAGCAAAAATGTGTGTTTTTTAAATTTATTTATCCATTTATTCATTTATTTGTACTGGGGATTGAATACTCAGTGATGCTCAACCACTGAGCCACACCCCGAGCCCTTTTTATTTTATTTTTAAAACTTTGAGACAGGGTCTCCTTATAGGGTCAAGGCCTTACGACTGAGGCTGGCCTTCACCTTTCCAACCTCCAGCCTCAGCCTCCGTACTTGCTAAAATTATAATTGTGCCCCATTCGGCCCGGCAATAGGTTTTATTTTGACAACGAACCAATGTCTCTGATTTTTGCATATTGATCTACATCTCCGTATCAATAGTTATGATCCATACCTACATTTTTATGCCGATATTTATAATCGAGTCCAGTCTCCGTAAACGTGAAATCTACCCCAACGGCTAACTAACGCTAAAATGGATTCTGGAATCAAAACTCTCCCGAAGGCCCTCTCGGAAGATGGTCCCCGGATTTCCACCTCCATGGCAAGATACCATTTTTACCTCCTTAAATAAAAAAAATTAAAATAAAATAATAATAACCTTAAAATAATAAATAGCAAGAAAAACTTACGAGTTCCAACTCCCCAGGGCCACTCACATTCTGTCCCAAAACACCGAGCAGTGGCCACATCTCATCTCGAGTCGGACTTTCCGTATTTCTGTCCCTTAGATACGGTGACATATCACTGCCATCCATTAAAAAAAAATATATATATATATATATATATTTATTTTTTTTTAGATTTTTTGGGGGGATTCTGTTCTGCTGATAACTCTGAACTCTTTATTTGTGTTGGATCAGTATCTGTCCTGGTCGGAGAGCGGATCCTTTTTCTTCTTTTAAAATAGTTTTATATTTGACACTCAGCCACAAACGAGGGCGTCCGTCCTGTTCCAAATAATCAGCGTCCTGAGGTCCATTTTAATTTCAAAAAAAAAAAAAAAAATCAGAAATAAAGTCCACCCGGGGCTCGAGGTCAGATCTCCGTTAGTTCCGACCCATTGTGCATCTTTCTTGAGCAAAGCAAAAACCCCCTGGTTTCCCCCCGTTTCTGGGCACCGACAAGAAGAGACCAAGAGATGCTTTTCTGCTCCCCAGATATTTTTGCTTTTCTTCTTCTCCTTTTTGATTTTTTTTTTTCTATTTTCCGCTGCAGGACGTGGGGCCCTGGAGGCTGGGGGTCTCCCCTGAGCCTCACCCCTCCCCAGCATCCCTCCAAAAGTGACCTCCGTGCAGAGAACACGTCCCAGCCGTGGCCAGCCTCCAAAGCCTGCCCCCCCTTGTCCACCTGCCTACATGGGGTTCCTGGCAGGGGACGCCACCTCGGTCCCTTGTCCCCCCCTGGACGCAGCGGGCACCCTGAGTGTGATTCTTTACGGTGTCCCCCGCTTGCTCTCCCCCCCAGATATCCACGACCAGAGCAGCAAGAAGCCGGTCATGGTCTACATCCACGGCGGCTCCTACATGGAGGGCACGGGCAACATGATCGACGGCAGCATCCTGGCCAGCTACGGGAACGTCATCGTCATCACCATCAACTACCGCCTGGGCATCCTGGGTAAGTGACCCAGGCCTGCCCCCGGCAGGGCCGCCCCGGCTGTTGCAACCATGGCTTTCTGTCCAGGTGGGGCCCTCGTGCATTCGAATCCTGCGGCTCCGGGTCCCGGACAGTCCCACCACCTGTCTAACCTGAGTCTTTAAAGCCATCGAGACCGAGTGACACTTTGCCATGAAGGATGCCTCTTTCCTTTTGCTCCTGGGACAATGGTCGGTTCATCCAGAGCCCTGCGGGGTCCTGGGGTCGCTGGTGACCGCGGTGCATAGCGCCTCTCCCTCTGGTTGTGCGGTGGTCGACAGGGTCAAGGTCGTCTTCATGTGCAAGAAGGTAGCGCCTCGGGTTTCCCAGCTCCATGGGGACCCAGGACCTTGTTCCTTGCAGCCTTAGGCAACGGAATTCAGGTCTTGTGTGGACCAGGTGCCATCGTAGGGTGGAGAGGTCAAGGGCATTGAGGATGGTGCTGGGGGTTCAAGGTCAACTGTGCATTGAACACGTGGCCAAGTCGCGGGGGGATGGGGGGGCGGAGTCCAAGACGTCCCTCCTCAAGGGTCGTCCATGTTTTTGCCCAGTTCACCGAAAATATTCCCCAATCTACAAAAAAGTGTTTGCAAGGCAAAAAAAATAAAAAAAATAAAAAAAAATAATAATGATAATTAAAATTAATCGAGTTTTTAATAAGGATGCCCTGGAGTTGCAAGGAATTCTTGGAATTTGATGCAGCAGGAAGACCCTCCTGCAAAGATTCTTCCCATCAACTCAGCAAAATGTCAGACCTGTCAATCACAGTGACAGGCAGGAGCGTTTTGAAGGGGTGGAAAGGGGAAGGGGACACTCTCAAGGGACAGAGGGGTCCTCTCAGGACAGGCACAGCGTGCCCCTCCCCTCCTGCCCTCCGGTTTTATGGGGGTCCTAGGGAAGTCCCCAGAGAGCCCCGCCCAGGTCCCCCTCCTGACTTTGACGGACAGCTGTCTCCAAACTGGTCATCGCTGCAAAAATACTTGCTTTTCCTTGTGATGAAGGACGTGATGTCATGGCGAGTGGCTGGGAAGGGGACCCTCTCTGGGACCCCGGGAGGTGGTGGGTGGCAGGAGTTGTCCCTGGCTGGGGAGCACCAGCTGCCCCCTCCCTGGTGCCCTTGGGTTTGATGGACGGCTCCTGCAGGGACCAGGTCCTCCCAGGGTGGACACGCACCCCCAGGGGCTCGGCTGCCTTCCGAGCGCCACGGTCCCCCCTGTCTGTCCCCCTGGTCCGTGCAAATCTCTGCGGTCCCCTGCGGCCGGCTTCTCTGGATGCCTTGGGGACAGGTTCTGGTCAGTGGCTTTCGGCCACCGGCTTCTGAGAGAGGCGCCTGGGATTCTTGGCGGTTGACAAAGGTCCTTCTTGGCCACGAGGTGGACGCGGAAAGTTGGGGCAGGGTCCCCACGGGGTGTTTTCATGTGATAAGGCCACTGTCCCCAAGGAGGAGCCTGCGAGCCGGAGGCAGCCCTGGGTCCCGGGCAGGGTCTCCTTTGGCTAAAATGCACAAAATGTTGTTTGGCCTCCGGGATGGGAGGCAGGTGCCAGAGGGAGGCCGGACCTCCAAGGAGCCTGGTTTCCCTCCCCCTCTCTCTCTCTGGGGTCCCCGTCAGCCCTGGGGTTTCTTGTCCTTCTGAACGAGGCTCCGTCTGGCCAGCACAGCTCGGGGACACCCCTGCATTTTGTTGATTTATTTTAAAGAAAAGAGGAAAAAAAGAAAGAAATGCAAATACCCAGAAAGTCGGAGGCTGACCTTTAGCCATGGCGTCTTTAAAATAAAAGTCCCGGGGAGGCTTTTATTTTGTAACAGAGATCCCCCCCCCCCCCCCCCACCCCCCTGCAGGGACCCAACCCAGGGGACTGGGCGTCTCCATGGTGACCGTCCCTAAGACAACAACTTAGATTTCCAGGAAAGATATTTTTAGTCCCCAGGGATGGGATCCAGGTGGGCTGACCCACGGAGCCACATTCCTCAGCCTTTTTTTAAATTTTTTTGATATTTTTATTTTGAGACTTGGTCTGCTTCTGTCCTCCCTGAGTTGCGGAGGCTGGCCTCCGACTTGCGATCCTCCTGCCCCGGCCTCTGGATCTTATGGGATCCCAGGTGTGCATCACTGTGCACAAATCATCAGCTGAAGATGCTAGGGGTTAGCTCAGTGGTAGGACTTTTGTGCAGTCTGTTCACGTCTCTGGGTTCGATCCTGCAAATACCAAACCAGGAAAGAAAGAGAGAAACAGGATCCCAAGCAATTGTCCTGCATCGTCCTAATGAGCAAATGACTGTCCTACCTCCCCCAGGTCCTGGGAGGGCTGGACCCCCGGTGTTTTTTGAGGAAGGGCTTCTTCTCTGCTGTATACTATTTTGCACGGCAGGTTTGCAACACCAGCCACTCAGGACCCACAGGTTCCCATAGGGAGGTGTCGGGCGTCCCCACCTGTTGAGGACGCACCTTAGTATCCTCCTGAGCTGCGCGCCCTGCAGCCTCCTGCACCAATCGTAGCTCCCTCTCACCCCTGCACCTCCTAGCACCATGCGGACCCCTTCCTCCTGAGGAAATCCATCCAGCTAGACACTTGCAGAACTTCCCGATATTCTGTTATGTTCTGCAGATGCAGGAGGGACGGACTTTGGGGGTATGGTATGATTTGGGGTCTCACAGATGTCGTATCATGCTGTTGGTTTAAGTCAAACCTCCCTTTCCCCTTTAGGACCAAATCATCCTACACCTACAGGGTGGGTGGATGGTGCTGGGTCGCTGTTGAAGGTACTGTGCTTAGTCGCTCTGAGCTCGCTGCCCGGCAGGGGCTGCATCTTACCCACAAGGAAACCAAGTCTGAGTCCCCTGAGGCTGGTTTATTCTGGTCAAATGATTCTCCTGAATCGGGATCGGGACTCTGACATACTGAACCCCAAATCACCTCCAGTCTCTATCTTGATTTATGTGACCTCAGAGGGACCCTGACGGTCTCCTGAGCCCCAGCTTCGCCGTCTGCAGTTGGACACACACCGAAATAAGAGGCTCTGGCCCTTGGCCCAGGTCCGTCCTGGTGCTGAGCAGCTCAGGGCGAATTTCTCTGTTCCGCAGAGAAAGATCCTTCATTTCTCATTCTCCTCCGTGAGCACATGACTGACAGTCCCCAATGGGACAAGGCAGGTGGCTCTCGGTGCCGCGGCGTCGGTCTCAGTGATGACATTCGCCCGTCACAACCCCGGGAAGTCTCAGAGCTGACATGGATCTCCATGGGATGAGGACCAGGGTGACCTCCGGGATCCGTTGACTTTGTTGGATGCTCACCGTTGACCAGGTCAGGGAAGTGAGAAATGCCACCCCAGGTTGGCACGGCTTTTTGTCCACAGGTGACCGGTTGCATGAGCCCCTTGGGCTGCGCTGGGCACAGACGTTTGGACACAAGTCAGAAAGGTCACATGCATCTGGCCGAGGTGACGGACAGAGAGAGGGGACTTGCAGGATGCCTGCAGGGACCTCAAGAAATGTGCCCTGACAAATAAAAAAATGCACGAATTTATCGTGCACAGGATGCTTTCAAAAGTGCACACGCAGCCGAGTGGCCCAATGACACACGTTCACATACGCGTTACCCCGTGTGTCATGTATTTGGGGGGTACAAGGTACAGACGCTGCTGTGTGATCAATTGGCGTTGTCGATGACAGCGTTTTACCTTTTTGCTGGCTGTGTAGTATTCTATTGGTGAGTGGGTACCACGTCGATTCCCCATCTTTTCAATGGTTGTGTTATAAAGTTGCATAACGGGGGGTGGGATTTGTCCTTACCTACTTGTACAAGCACACAATGGGGACAACGCAACTTAGCAAAGTACCACCTAAGCACTTCCCCCTCCATCCCGCCTCTACCAGTCCCTCTCCTCTAGAAATCTACCTTTGATTTTTTTTCCGGGGGATGAGGTACGTACTGGGGACTGAACTCAGGAGCACTCGACCCCTGAGCCCCCTCCCCAGCCCTATTTTGCATTTTATTTAGAGACAGGGTCTCACTGAGTTGCTTAGGGCCTCCCTTTTGCCGAGGCTGGCTTTGAACTCGTGATCCTCCTGCCTCAGCCTCCCTAGCTCATGGGATGACGGGCGTGCCCCACTGCACCCGGCTCTCCGTTTGATTTTTATGACCTGCAGCTGCACCTTTCTATTCCATTTTCCCGCCTAGCTTCTGCATAGGGGCCAAAGTGACCCCTGAGTATGATTTTGGCTTATTTTGCTTAACATAGTCTCAAGTTCCACAATCTTCCTGCAAATGACACGATTCCATTCTTCTACATGGCTGAATAGTACTCCACTGTGTCTACACATCACAATTTTTTATGCATTCATTCATTCCTGGACACCTAGGCTGGTTCCACTGTTTGGCTATTGTGGATTGTGCTGCTATAAACACCCACACCACTTATTATTATTATCTAATTTGTTTTGTAATTTTTTTTTTCTTTTTTCAAATTTTTTTGGGGAAATGTTTTGTTCCATTATAAACCTTGACAACTGTGCTACAATCTGCGTGGACATTCAGATGTCTCTTCAAAGACTATTTTAAAAAAAAATCATGTGGACAGAGCGTCCGTCTCTGTGCATGACGCTATGCAGAACTTCCTGAATCTACTTATAAATGATTCAGAATTTCTTAAAGGGACCTGGAATATTTTTGCGCAGCGTAACCGTCGAGGAGGATCCCAATGTCCCCTAACCCATTTCCCGGAATCCTTGCTCCCTTGGATACCTAACCAGTCGGGTCATTTCCTTGTGCATTTATCATCCCTCAGGACACGCCCCACCCAAATGGTCCTTCCTGGAAAATTCTACTTTCAAAGCCCTGAGGCCACTTAAGGTCCCTGACTCTGAAAGCCACCTCCCTTCCCTCCGGGGCCTCTTTGGGCTTATTTTCCTCTAAGGTGCCGCGGGCTGATGGCACTCAGTGGACGGAGACCGTGGCCGCTGGCTCCCTGGACACATCTGGAC